AGAGAGAGAGAGAGAGAAATGAGAAAGGCAGCAAACAAGAGAAGGTAACCTAGAGATTGCTTCCTTTGTATCAGTCAAGTGAAAACTCTAATTGTAAATGTGCATCAAAACTAGAATTTACACTGACAATTGCTTGCTTTCTTTTACTAGGACTCAAAATTTTGGCTCTGGCTGCGCAGCTCATTGGGGAGGGAGAGGTAACCGAGCATGGTAGGCTCCAGTTTCTCTGTTTGGGCATTGTGGAGAATTCGTACCATCTGAATAAATGAACGTTATAGATGGTTGCAGCTCTATTTCAGTAGATAAGGCTGGAGCCTAATGCCAACCTCATCCCTACAAACCAGATGTACACTTCTCTCTCAGCCTATATCTCATCTGATTAAAAACTCAGCAGCTGCCATTTTAAAAGCATGTCATTGTTAAGGCTTCTTGGCGCCATTCAAGATGAAGGGTTGGACTTTGAGCAAAGGAGATTCATGAGACAAGAGGGAGAAAGCAACATGGAGAGTAACAGAGCATTAACAACTGCGTGAGTGAGAGAGATCAGGGAGGAGAGAGGTCACAAGGCACCCACAAGTTTGTGTGTGAGAGACTCTATGGCTCTAAGGCTTCTTCTCTTCCTCCGCCTCCCTAACAGAACCTGGCCGATGCACCAATATAGGGCACCATACTCAAGCCACACGGCACCATTGCCACAAGGCTCAGCCCCTTGCTTCTCTCTCTATCTCGACCGTGCCAAAATCATCGACCAAATCCGCCTCCTCCTCCGCACTACCAGTCCGAATGCCTTTCCCTCTTCTCTCTCTTCTCTTGCCCCGCACATTGACACCACCATTGCTGTCCACGCCCTTCGGTCCTCCCCCTCTCCCTCTGCCACCCTCTCTCTCTTCCACTTCCTGCACAACCTCCCCCACTTCTCCCACTCCCCCAACACTTGCCGTGCTGCCCTCTCCTCCCTCCTCTACACCACCGTGCACCACCCCCAGCTCTCTCCCTCTTCTTCATCTGCCACGCCGTACACTGCTTTCTCTCTCCTCATTGATCGCATCAATTCCAGTCAGTTCCCTGGTGTTTCTCTCTCTTTCATGGACCACCTCCGCTTTCTCTGTGCCGCCAATGACCTCCCCAGAGCCCTTCAACTCTTTTCCCACACTGCTCGTCACAACCCTAGTTCTGCAAACCCCCAAAACCCCATTTTGAAGCCTCTACAAAATTCTAGTTCTCCTCAAACCCTCAATCTCAAGTCAAAGAAGGTCCATTTGTGCACTGAGGCCTATAACTTAATGATGGAACTCTTTGCTCGTAATGGTCGTCATGACGAATCCACTCGCCTCTTCCTTTATATGCTTAATAAGGGAAACCTCCCTAATTCGCGAACGTATACTGTGATCATAAGGCATATGGTGGATATGGGCAAAGCAAAGGAGGGATTTGAGGTGTTTAAGAGGTTGCCTGGTATGAGAGTTAAGCGCACTAGGTTGCAGTACACCTTGTTAATTCAAGCTTTCTCTCAGTTGGGTGATTCTGACATGGTGCTTGTTTTGGTTAGAGATATGCAAAAGGATGGCGTCCTGCCTATGCGATCCTCTGTCCAGGCATTAAGGAAGGTTGGGCTCAAAAAGGAGGCTGAAGAAATGGTTAAGGATTTCTTCACACTTGATTCAAGAATTGGGTCTATACAAGGCTCGAGCCTTTGCACTAGTTTCTTTGATGATGATCAAGAAGGTGATGTTGATGATGATGGTGATGGTGATAATGATGATGATGATGATGATGATAATGGGTTGGATGGAAATGATGAATTGGTGTCATTGAAGCCATGGGTGGACCCTTATGCAATTGCAAGTTGCTTGAGGGACTGGGATCATGCAGAGGTCTCGGCTTTAGGGAAAGCGAACATAGTTTGGACTGCTCGTTTAGTTGGCAAAGTGTTGAGGGGTTTCAAGAGAGCAGATTCAGCATGGGAATTCTTTTGTTGGGTTGCTTATCAACCCGGTTTCACACATGATGTCTTCAACATTTCGAGGATGGCAGTCCTTTTAGCACGGCAAGGCCATACCGAATTGGTTAATCGCCTCCTATCAAAGGTGGTAGAGAAAGAAGGAATTCAGATCTCTTTTAGCACTATAAGGCTTATAATTGATGCCTTTGGGATTTCGAAAAATGCAGATGCTGCACTGAAAGTGTTTCGAGACTTCTCGTCGAATTCTTTGGGATATTCAGAGAACCACAATTTGTTAATGTTGTATTCTTCACTTTTGAGGACCTTTATCAAGTGTAAAAAAGGTGCCAAAGCTACGGAGCTCCTTGAAGAGATGATGTTAAGTGGAATTCAACCCGATATCCCGATGTTATTGGGTTTGTTAGAGCACTTTGCAATGGAAGGAGACTTGAAGAGGGTGGAACAATTGTTTGGCATGGCTAGACAGTGTGTGATTGAGCCTGATGCTTATATGTATAAGATCCTTATCCATGCTTATTGTAAGAGGGAGAGGTCAGCTTTAGCAATGAGGGTCTTTGAGGTTATGCAAAATGCAGGGTTTATGCCTGATGTGGCCACCAAGAATGTGCTTGTCAATAGTTTGTGGAAGGAGGGGAAGCGAAGAGAGGCAGCTTCGATTGAGGAGAGAATTGGGAGCGATGATGATAGTCTTCCAAAAGTTATTCTTGGTCATCCATGGACAGTGAGTGGTGAAGATCTCATGTATGTCCATGATATCTATGCCAAATGCTTCACAAGAAGTGAAGCAGAGGAAGATATTCAATTAAGCGGCTAAATGGTATGCTCCACTTGGCCCTAGTTTTCACATTTCTTCTATTCTTCCACCTATTCAATTCATTTGTTACTTGTGCACATTCCATTAGTAACCCTCTTTTTGTTGCTATACTTTTCTCCAGTAGTGATTCTCATGAGCCTTAATATTTAGAGTTATGATAACCTTGATAACAATCAGTATAGTGCTATGCCTCTCCTTTCAAACGTTAAGTTTCTTCTTGACTTGTTAAGGCTTACTAGAGAACATTTCCCATCTATTTTCTTCTGGGACAGGTTTATATGCTTCCCCTACAACATAGAAGTTCTATCCTCCCCCTACCATCCAGCCGTCCAATTTTGATCAAGAGAGCCACTCACCGTTTGATCTTAGATCTGACGTCTCAAAGTATTTTATTTTTAGTTTTTTTTTATACAAATTGTATGAATATGAAATTTGGTATGTGCCGTCTTCTCATTGGGGCGCACCTATAAAAAATATTAAAAATAATTTTTCGATAAAATATAATAACCAAAATACTCTTTGAAACTTTCAGGGGTATTTTGGTCATTTTATTTTATTGAAAATATTTTTTTTATATTTTTTGCTAGTGCGAGTTTAATAGAGGAATGAACGTCCAAAATTTGGTGTCAAAATGGTTTATAGAAAAAAAATTAAAAATAAAATAGTGTAGAGACGTGACATTGTGATTGGGGCAATCTTAGCCTTCCATTTAAAATGGACGGTTGGATAAGGGGGAGGATAGAACTTCTATGCTGTAGGGGAAGCATAGAAAGCTTGCCCTTTTCTTTTTTCTCATTTTGAAGCAAGAGAGGGTGCTAGGAATTGTCACTAGAAGAAGCTCCCTAGTTTTGGAGCATCATAGGAATGCTGTTACAATTAATATATATTTGGATACACAGTAACCATAATACGGATATAATTATTTTACTAACAAATATGTTTGTTCAAGTAAATTTTAGAACTTGTATTTATTTACTTGACTCTTATCAATAAAAGTCCTGGATAATAATATCTGTGCATACTACAAATTTATTTGATTACTATATATTGAACCTTAATAAAAGATATTGATGGATTTCAGTCCAATTGGGTTTTGATCTTTACAAATGAACACCAGGGGATGAGGTAACCAAGGAGTTCATTAGTTGGATTAGATGTTCTAGATGGGGGATGTATTATTTTGGATTTGCTCCTAGAAAGGTCAGATTATGCAACGATCAGGATGAAAAAGAATGCTTGACCTAACTATATGATCGTTTCTTACTTTTCCTCATTCGAGAATCTCCTCCCTTCTTCCACCCTGCCCTGAAGAGTAACTAGGACCAATCTAATCGCGTTTTCATGTTCCAGTGGAACACTTCCTATTTTTTATAATGATCGAAGGAAAAGATTTATTGTTTTTACCTAACATATGTGGATCCAATCACAATCTTCCATATGCATCTAATCATAAACGTGTTCCAATGAGGAAGGAGGATTTTCAATGCGGGATATAAAAATATTATTATAATATAATGAAATTGTACTTCTAAAAAAAACCATGTTTGTGGCATTTGTATGACCTCAAAATTTGCAAGTGCACCCTCTTCATCCCAATAATCAATCCCCCCTACCCACCCACAAAAAAAGTAAAAAATAAAAAATCAGCTTCCACCTTAGATATGGTCAAAATGAGTTCCCCTCCTACAATGAATCTAGACTGTCCATTTGATGAATTTTATGATCTATGCCATTAGGAATTCAAAATCAAGTTTTTCTTTTTTGACGTTTTTGATCTAATGATAACAAAGCGAACTAAAAAATTTGGAAAAGGAAAACAACTTGTCCAAGGCCTAAGTTGGTTAAAAAACCATTTTGGGAGGTCAATGGTCATGAAGTGCCTAGTGAGCTTGGTGTCACATTGGAGTTAAAGGTGGTCATTTTTATTCAGGCATTCCCCAATCATGGGTTTTACCTAGTCCAACCTCAAGTGGTCGTATTCCAGCTCGGAACTCTATCCAGTCCTACTCACTTTGGCTGATCCTTTGGAGGACAAACTAGTTTGGATACTTGTCCCTGATGGTAATTTCATGGTTAAAATAGCTTGAGAACTTTTCAGTGGAGAGGAACCTTGCGGCCTGATATTGAAGAGGTTTGGGAAGGACCAGCTCATCCAAGGGCATAATGGTTTTCTTGGCTAGCTCTTCATGGTACGCTACCCACCTCTAATTTTTTTTAAATCTAGGAGGGTTCAACTAGCTTGGTGTTGTGTTCTTTGTCATGACTATGAGGATTACGCGAACCATTTGTTGCTTGATTGTAGTTTTCCTAAGCTTTTGTAGTGTTCCCTTACTCTACGATACAGTAGATCTTTCCAGGTTGAACATGATCTACTTCAAACCTTCCTGAAATAGAGGGAATACAGGTTCATATTAAAGAGTATGACACATGTTTGGATTTTTATTTTCTTGATTATAATTTGGTATTTCTTGCAGTGAAGAAACATGTGCATTTTCAATGGCCGGTGTGAATCACGTGGAAGCTTCTGTGATGTACCCTTGCTTTTATCAGGGATTTCATCAAAGTTCAAAATTGGAAGTTCCATCAAAGTGAAAAGGCCATTATCGGCAACCTTAACCTGACGTAAAGTTAACAGTTTCAGGAAAATAAAAAAGAAAAAAGAAAAAAAACCTTAACCTGAGTTGATAGGACTCCAATGCACTCAATCTCTATTATTTGAAATGGGCATCTCCATCGCTTGGCTCTATTAAGTTAAAATATAACTTATGTTTCTTTTGGAAACGGAGGGTGGTTGGCAGTGGGGGCTTAATTTGGAATCATGATGGATGTTTATATGGTTTTGCTTTAACAATGGGCATGGACAGCAGAATTCAAGGCCCTTGAACAGCACTCTGCGCCCTCCCCATCTTCTCGATTTGATGTAGAGAGTTTTTTGGGCCCCAAGTGGGTTTTTGCATAGGTCACCCAAGTGTCGGGGTGCCTATTTTTTGTATATTGCTCTTCGTGGTAAATTTCTATTAGTGATATATAGTAGTCAACAGATTAAAAAATAAAAAATAAAAATATTCGAGGACCTTGAAAGGGGCATAGATTTGGCCTTAGAATGTAATTGCACTAATCTTATTGAGAGTGATTCTAGGTTACGAGCCTTGAAGGTGCGATCCTTGGTTACGACCCTCTTACCTAACTGTCATTGGAAACTTCACAATATATCATGGTCACTCTGCCACAATATATCATGGTCCATCTGCCATTCTCTTCATGAAGCAAACAAGATTGCTTTTGCACATGCTACATTCTCTCTTTTCTGACATACAAATGCTACCCATCAATGTTTGAACTGTTTTTTCTTTGAATTAATAAAACTAGGTAGCGGACCTTTTCCCCGCTGATTAACCCAAAAAGAAGTGTTCTTGAGCTCAAATTTTAGGGCCAGCAATTTTCACCTGTTGTTTTATGAGCATGTTACGTGGGTGACTTCCATTTGGCCCCGGGTGTGGGGATAGAGTCTGATAAGCATGGAAATGGGGAAATCCAACCTGCTAGAAAGGAAGTTTACTTTAAAACCATGTTGCTTGAACTAAGAGAAAAAAAGAGAGTTATTTAGCCGAGTTCTCATGTTAAAAAATATGAAAATATAGAAAAACACAATGAAATGCAGGAATCCTACCCAAGGCATCAGCTTACTCATGGAAACCTCCCGACCTCACGGTTATTGCAAAACAAAATCTGAGACTGGCATTTTAATACCTTCTTGTACATGAAATTTTCAGGCGAACATTAGTATGTTAGCCAACAAATGTTTAACCGTATAGTAAATATAATGCATTTTGTGGATCAGTATTATGTTTTATATGTTACATATGCAACTGAATTACATATTGTCTTTTGTAGATACAAAGTTTTGAAGTTCTTTTATTGTGTAGATACAGTTTTAATGATATCTGTTATACAGATACTTCCCTTAATGAAGTTTTACTTGGTATGTGGAATGAATATTTATTCACTCATAAAACAAAAGAGAACCCTAATGGGAAGCACACGGAAGCCCATGGACTATGGAGAGTCATCGTTTTGCTGGGGTCAATATCATCCAATTAAATGATGGATGGTAAGGACAGCATGAGACCCACCATTGGAGATGCCCTTTTCCCGCATTCCATGATGCTTATACTTTACCATGCTCATACTTTACCCGACTTTAAGATCGTCCATCCTTGTGTCTCCCTTGTCCATGTATCGTTAACTGAATCTCTACAACTTGAACAGGTGTGGCTGCATGGATATGCGCAAAGAGGACTACCAGACCTTTGAGCACCTCCTAGTCAATGGCCCCCAGAAGTTCATCTGAAGAGAGGCACAAGAGCACTCTAGTGTAAGATTTTTTTCTGGGGCTCTATTTCATGCCAGAATTCCTGTAAAATAAACTGTGTAAAGATAGAGAATCATATAAAAAATTATATTTCATATTTTGCATTCATTATAAACATCTCTCTTTCTACAATTTCTCTCTCTACAAGAGATGGCCCACGCTACAACACTTATCTCATCACTAACACACTTTTCTCACTTAAGCACCACAATCTCTCTACATGCTCCACTCCCACACTTTCTCTACTTCACACACTTATATCACATGACTTTCTCACTTTACCACTCAATCAACCCCACCACTCAACTCAATCAATGACTCACTTCACCTCACTCACTTTCACTCTCTCTCTTTCTTCATTTCATTCTCTTTTTCTCTCATACCTTCACCTCACGCACCACCACTTTCTACCTCCTTGGATTGACACCACTCTCTCTCTCAATATATATATCACATACTTACCCCACCACTCTATCACACACACTAACACTACTTTACACCCACTTTCTACCCTCTTAACACGCTTCACCACATTCCCACACGGCCCTATTTAGAACATCCTCCACGGTCATTAGGTTCTTCTAATTTTCAAATAATCACACTTATTTTCAATTTTTTCATACCACCGAATTCCACCAAAAACATGGTTGGTCAATGTTGACTTTCACGCTTCTCCCTCTCAACATTGGCTTACCCTTACAACTGATCTTCTAATCATTTTTGGTCGCCGTTCACTCCCTTCTTCACTTCAACAAATACAAGACCAATAATTCTCTCTCTCTCTCACTCTCTCTTACTCACTAAGGATAAGAGTATCAAATAACCATCCTAACCCATTTCATATTTTCCTCCCTTCCTCTCTTCTTTTTCTCTCTAACAAATACTCACCCATTTCCTCTCTCCTTTTCCTATCTCTAGCTAGGGCTGGCAATGGATGGGGTGGCTCAGCTTAGTCGGCCCAGCTCTAAAAATGTAGAGCCTGGGCCACAAACTGTAGTCTGAGGGCAAGGCTAATGCTAGTGCCAGCCGGGTTCAGCTTTTTTTGTTTTTCTTATATTTTCTTCATTTGTTTTTAGCCCAGCCTGGCCTAGCCCTAGGGCTAGGCCAAGCCTGAGTCGGCCTTATAGCAATAAGGACCTGGCCATTGCCACTCTTAGTTCTAGCCATACCCATTTGCCCTCTCTCTCACACATGCGCGCATGCACACAATATCTTTCTCACGCACACACATTTACACACTCAAAATACTCCCTTCAGCGCTGATTCTCTGTTAACCTCATCTTTGATGTCTTTACTTTCACTCTAAGAGCATCAAAAAACAGTTACCCCAATATCTCTCTCTCTCTCACACATCGATTAAACCAATAATGCGCTATCTCTACTAAGCAGAACCAAATGCAATACTTCTTGCAGGATGCGATACCCATTTCAATTTCAACCCCCCTCTCTCTCTTGACGACCTCCTTTTCCCCCACTTTGCCACCAAAGCTTCAATGGTGTAAACTTGGCATCTCTGGTCCTGGTAGAGAGAGAGGGGTAGAGGAGAGAGAAAATGGATGATTAGAGGAGTTCCAGGGGTTGTTCTGTGTAGCAGGGAGATGTCAAGTGGGTGTAGCTGCATAGTGTGGTTCAGGAGGGATCTAGAGTTGAAGCTAACCTTGCTCTCTCATCTGGTGTGAGAGTTGGTTCAGTGGTTGCAGTCTTTATATGGGCACCTGAAGAAGAGGATTATTACTATCCAGGAAGGGTCTCTAGGTGGTGGCTTAAGCAAAGTCTTGCTCATCTTGATAGTTCATTGAGGAGCCTTGGAAATTGCCTCATAACCAAGAGGTCGTCTGATAGTGTTTCCTCTCTCTTGGTGGTTGTCAAGTCCACTGGTGCAATCTGCGGCTTCTTTAACCATCTCTATGGTAGTAACTCTCTCTCTCTCTCCAACTTATATATCATGTTTTTTATCCTTCTTTGTTTATTTGTTTTTTTAATGTTCTGGTCTTTCTCTGCTTATTTTGTTTCTTGAATTCAGTTTCTGTTTCATGTGGGTTTTCTCACTCTGCCCAATTCAGTGCTTGTGGTGTTCTGATGTTTCTTCTTTTATTTTAATAATTATTTATTTTTATATTGAATGTGAGATTTCTTTGTGCTTTTGTCTCTTTCTGGCCATCATAGTGCATATGGTGTTTTGATCCTAGGTTTGTAAAAAATTAAATATTTGGGTATTCATGTACTGATTGGATTATAGGTAGGTGGTGAGATGCCTTGATATGGGTTAATTTATGGGATTATATAGGTTTGATCTTGTTCACTAAAAGGTTTTCACTTTTTTTCTCACCTCTTTGAAATTTATTGTTGTTTTTATATTTTATTTCGAATGCATGCTTGTGATTCTTGGAGGTGAAATTCTTGAGGGCTTTGCATTTTTGCCTAAGAACACCATGGTGCTCTCCTTCTCTATCCGAACATTTGAAGATTTGGGCTGTAAATCGTATATCTACGCAACCAAAGCTGTGTTTTTCTATTAAATAATTGCAGATGTTGGAAAATAAATTCTTGAATATTAATTTTATTTTTTGGGAAACCTAGAGTTAGAGCTATGGCCTAAGGGTATTTGCATTTCTAGTAAATTGGCGTTTTATTTTATTTTTATTTTTATTTTTTGTATGAATGTATTGATTGGGGTGTAAGTTTCTTTTGGAAGGTTGATTCAACCACTGAAGTAAGCATCTGAATTTGGTTTTTCATTTCTTTTTCACTGTATTTCATTACAAAGATGAACCACAATCACAAGAGGTCCCGAGGGGTCACGCTATATAGGCCCAATCATGAAATGGATAAAAAACCACACTGAGAGGCGGAGAGGGAAAGTGGTTTTAGGTCCCCAAGGGGGACCTGGAAGCCTCCTTCTGAGTTGGCTTCTCTATACATGTGTTGCTAAGCGATTCTGAATTCTCTGGTGATATACAAAATCTCTGGTTTTTGATTTTTAATGTTTGATAATCAAAGATGAATTCTATATCATCATTCTTCTGTCAAAATTTGGGAATTCTGTGATTAATTATTTCACTGTACTCTCTCTGAAATATTAGTTGCTTGTCGTATTAATTTTCGGTTCTCTCATTCTTTTGCCGTTTTGTAGAAAGTACATGGAGATTTTTTAGGATTATGATCTGTCATATGATGACCAACCTTGTTTCTTTTCTTTATGTTTCAAGCTGCTCAATAATTGTTCATCACACGTAACTTCTTGTGCAGACCCCCTATCTCTTGTAAGGGATCATAGATCAAAGGAAGTTCTGACAGCTCAAGGAATAGTGGTCCATTCGTTTAATGTGGATTTGCTCTATGAACTATGGGAAATTCGCGACCCAAATGGGCAACCCTTCATCACTTTTGCAGCATTTTGGAACAGATGCCTTATGCCTTATGACCCATTTGCCCCAAAAGAATAGTTCAGGTTTTTGATTGTATATATTTACTTCGTAGCCACTTTGTTTGATGTCAATCATTCTCAAGTTACTTTGGCAAGTTACCCACAAAAGAAAAGGAAAAATTGATATCGAGTGTGGTGCTCCCAGTTATTGGCATTCAAGCTAAGATCTCCCTAATTCCTACATTGTTTTTATTTTTAAGGAGAATTAGTTGACGCAGAAACGAGTGACTAGCTGAATATTTTGAATTATACTTTTTTATCTGCTGAGAATTGTCATACAGCTTACTTAAGAGGAAACAAATTGTTATACAGCTTGCAATTTTTCACTAGATTAAATTTTTTTGATGCAACTACTTGAAGATTGTGATAAATTTGAAATTCCAAATAAGGAGATTGTTTGATGAAATTGTGTAAAATAACTATGAGAAGTTGATTTGCATCACAAAGAATGGCTTATACCAGGATAATTAAGTTTGTGATATTTTTCCTTTTGAATCGCTTGCATTCCATACCTTGAATCAGCTTTCTCCTAGTTGTATGCTGTCCACTGGCTTATTCAGCAATGATTCAGTCAAGGCTTCAACGATTGTGTGTGGACCTCTGTTACTAATTTTCTAGGCTAAAGATCTATGATATTCTTAGATGGCGAGGCAAAGGAAATCGCAAGGGATTAGCTCACTCATTTTTAGCCTTAAATAGATTTTGTTAATATTATTTTTAAACTTAAAAATAATAAAAATAGAAAAGGAAGAGAAAATAGTGAAAGACATGTTGTGTCACATATCTTGACATGGATACTATATGGAAATAACTATGCACATAGCATAAAAGCATTAGATTAAGGTTATAAAAGCACTAGAATATGGTTATTAACATTATTGAGGATTATAACCTCATATGCTGCTATATGCCTTGTGAATGGAAAATTTTGTTGAAGCTGTTTGAATTTTTTTTCTTCATAGTTATCGATGCTATTAGAATTATTGTATTTGGTGGCTGAATGTGAGAAAGGGTATGTTAGGAACTTGTTTACTTCTTTATTGTTAGGGTCATAGAATCCTTATGTTACTGTCGAGACGAAACAAAATATCTGATATGATTCAGATATGTTTGACCGTTCTTATGTCTTTACTTGGCTTGAGCGAATTATTAAGGTTCAATGAATTAGGTAAACGTGTTTAGAAGTAAGTTTTGGGTTACCCTGTAATGCTAGTTTCATGGACGAGAGAACTTCCATTCGTGATTCTGTGTTCTTTGAGAAATGTTGACTATTTTTCCTATTATGATTATTTATTACTGATTCATACGTTTTGCTCAGAATTTTGAAAGATTGTTGGCTGATCCATATCTTGTTTCTATAGTCATCGTGCTTTAACAATCCACAGATTGCAGCTGTAGTAGCTATGCATCACATGGTTTATTGTGGTCATAAATCTTTGCTTGGTGCTACTGGAAGTTTGCTACTAAATTTTTTTCTCATTATATTATGTTCATGTGAACTCATGCTTGTAGAATTCAATCAAATTATTACAAATAGTTTAGTTTTTCTATTATTCTATTGGAAAATTGTTTCACGCGGGCTGGACCTCATTTTTACATATGCGGTCCAGAAAGTGTAAAGCATCCATCTTAAAGATGGATGGAAGTAGGTGTTCCAT